ACAATGGCAATTCCTTTATTATACAAATAAATGCAGCAGAAATAATCTGACATAGCAAGAAGGAAAAATCAGATTAATTGGATCCTCGATTGCGGCTGCACGGGCCATCTAGTTAATGATGATAGAATGTTTGTTGAATGCATTGTTTTAAATAAACCGATAAATGTCAAATAAGGTGATGGCAGAATATTTAATGCGACAAAGATTGGTAAAATATTGACTAAATTTTAAGTTGTTGGCAGAAGACACGAAGTTACCTAGTTCGATATATTTTATATTAAAGAAATTCGACCAAATCTTATTGTTTATTCTAAAGTGACCAAAAATAACACAATAATATCCAAGGGCAATACGACTAAAATTTATAATAAAAACAATGAATCAACGCTCTCCGAGCGTGCCGTTACCATAATAAAACCATGAACATGTTATATCGGAGTCTTCTATACTATACTACTATATGAAATTCTGGTATTTGTCTGTCTGTCCACGATAATTTCCGACACAGCTTATCTGATTGCAACCAAAATTTGCAGACATGTAGAGGAGGTTGTTGGGAAGGTTATAGGCTACTCTTTGTTTATGTAAATTGTTTATAACATTGCATTTGTTATAAACATTTGAAAACGGGATCTATGCAAGATATTCGAGTTCTTCCAACGGAAAATTTTTATGTTTTTACTAAATAAAAATGACTACACATGTAACATTAATGGAGAGTAGCATTTTTTTTATAACAATTAAATCGTTATAAAAGAGCAGAAATCAAATATTACGATAGAATTTGCATTTTTGCCGTTATTCATCAATGCCTACAAATTCATTACTTCTCTTTTAATACTATCACAGCGCAATGCGTATCTAAATTGGCTAATTTATATTATGACATTACCATTCAAAACATTTTTAATTAATCTTCCGTTATGGAACGTAATTCTACACATTACGCGGACGAAGTCACGGGAATCTGCTAGTTTTTTCATTAAAATTAAAGTTCGTTTTTTGGTTTTCCCTCTATTCGATAAGTTCAGAATTTGGTCTGCTCATCACATACGGATGAAACGGGTTGTTAAGAACATAATAAATTATTTTTTTATCAAACATTGATTAAAACAATGGTTCAGAATTTAATATGTTGTTTAACAAATCATTCAAAACTTTCTAATTGAAATAAATTGTTTTCAATAATTTATTTGTAATGTTTGATACAATCTATTACATTATATTTTTATGAAGTCAAATTCATATTTATATCATTCACTTAACTCACATTGCTATATATCATGTATTATAAATGAATTTTATCATCATATAAAATACGAAAACATTATCACTTAGGAATATAACTCTTTATAAGCATAATTCTTCATCATTCTGTCTGTTTTGTCATTATTGACATATGCTTGTATACTTTCCCAAGATCAAACTCTTGAAAATGCTACATACAATTGTTCATGGCTGAAAATATCTTTAGTAAGATCGATTCTAATCATATCGAATGTTTGTCCTTGTGTTCTATTGATAGTTATTGCAAATATTAACGTAATTAAAAATTGTCGTCTTTTGAACATGAATGGATAAATACTTTCACAATATAACGTTATCCGACTGATAAATACTGTTTCACCCGATTTATCGCCATTTAATATTTTACACTTAAGAATATTGTAAAATAAGACCAAATAATAACTTCGGAAAATAAATTAATAAAAGAAAAGTTTATTAAAGAATGACAGCAATCAATTAAAATGAAAGTATCCGTGCGGTCAACTCAAGTATCAGTCAAAAACCGGAGATAAACAAACTCTCCCTTCGTTGCTATAAACAATCTAATCGTCAAGCAATCGTCGTTAACAAACAAACTGTCGTTGGTCTAATAGTCATTAGATGGCGACATACAAATATTTTACAATATTATTTCTGTTTAATAATGAATATCTTCTATCGAAATCTCCGGCATTCTATTACCAGGGAAAATATTTTGTTGGAAAATTTAATTTTTTTGTTATAAACAATTATTATTTATTCATAACAAGTGTTATAGTCAATATTATATTTCAGTAGTATTTCTGATTTTTATAGAATAATAATATTTTTCTTCTACCCATCTTTCTTATAATAAACTCTTTAAACTCTTAATAATAAAATGATGAATACCGATTTCCAGATAATCATCATATCATCAAGAAACGGTCCTAAAAGCGTCTTAAAAACCACAAAATTATGAATCTGATGAGAAGCCATACTAAATTGAAGTTTATTGAATGGAAAAAAAGTCCTTGGAACCATCAACCCTAAAATAAAATACAGAAATTTAATTGGTGAGCTTTTATATATAAGTGCCGGTATTCTACCTGATATAGTATTTGGTGTAAATTATCTCCGTTGTTATCAGAATTGTTATGATGAAACACATTATACGTGTGCTCTTAGGATCTTAAAGTATTTGTATGCAACTATAGATTTAAAATTAACCTACTGCAAAAATACTGAAATAGAGACATTAGATTGTCTAGTAGACGCAGACTGGGCTGGCGATAATGTGGATCGCAAATCAACGTCAGGGTATGTAATAAGAGTCTGTGAAAATTCCGTATATTGGAAATCTCAAAAATAAAACTCTGTAACTACGTCGTCAACTTTTGTGGAATATATAGCTGTGTCAGAGGCTGTAATCGATGTAAACCTGAAACGTGAAATGAAGATATCTCTAGTGCTTCACTCATTGCCAAACATGAAAATTTCTCGAAGAATTCTCAATTTATTGAAGTCCAATATCATTTTGTAAATGAAAATTATAGCAAGAGAAATATTGATATATTCACAAAATTTCCATCCAAAGTTAAGTTTGTAAAATTCACAGAAATGTTAAATTTAAAAGATGATTAACATCAACATAAATGTAAGGAAGTGTGTTGAGTGTGGTACGTTTATATTGGTGTGGTTGACTACAATGAGAAGCTGATGTGCGTGAGCGTACGTTTCGGAGTTGGTCGACTCTGTGTACCCAGAGAGAACAGTAATGAAGATAAATGTGTTTTTCCTTTTATTAGTAAAGATTGATAATTATACAATAAGACTATTTAATTTTTCAATAAATGTAAAGCAGTAGTCTGGTTTTTCAAATAGTCTGGGTTTACTGTATTGGAGTCAGTCACATCGATACAAGCGAGTTGTTTGAATATAGATCTTGTGTGTGTGACAATTCATGAGGCTGTGAGGCATCGAAGCCAACATCGTTCGTGCCTTTTGCAACGAAGATGCTGAATCGGACCAACTTGAGCCTACTTGAGAGATCTGATGAGAAGTGGACAGACTGATGAGTTCACAATCATCACTATAAACAATTCACTGCTGAGTTATTCCATTCCTGAGTCGTTCAGTCATACACCAAGTTCCGATCTAATTTTTCTCTTTTTTAATTTTTAGGTGTGAAGAGTCCTATAATACTGATCTGATCAGACCTAAACTCTGAATTCATTTTTCTGATTACTTCAGACCATTTCAGATCTGGTCAGATATAAATTCGGGAGACAATATTAATTAAAAAAAAATTCCATTAAATTTCAATCTTATTACTGCATAAATATTTTTATGTCATGATTATGATTCTTAAATTGCTTATAACAAATTTACATTATTATATACAATACGTCATTGTTGAAAGTTATATTTAGTTGTGGACAATAATGTTTTGTCAATGTTGACTTAATTTATAAATGAAATTGTTATTCTTTTACTTAATAGTAAATTATGCATCCAGGGACCTATGGAGTTTAAGGACCCGATTGTTGACACGATGGAAAGACCTTCTGTAGGGTTTTTGTAAACAAAAAAAATAACATAATCACATTGGCCTTGCAAGAAGCAAAGCCCCTGCCGGGAAGGGGGCATAGCCCCCCTGGAATAAAAAAAAACTGTTTAAAAAATAATTATCAAAATGTCAGTAATAGTCACATTTACTCCAAAAACAATGTAAATACAGAATTAAGGGTAATAATCTAGTTAAGCTTACAGCTCTCCCATTTCGTTAAAATTTTAGTATGTTACAGAAAAAATTATGCTGAAAAATTTGATATACACAAATAGGGCGCGGAAACCATCCCTTCACATAGTTTTTCATCTTTAAAATTCTAAAGGAAGAAAAATATTTTATACATCATAGTTTAGCTTCGCATGTCTTCATTACCTGATGATGTCATCATATATTATAAAATTTGCAGAGAATGTAGTCTGATTCGTTTACATGTAACTATCGTTAGTAAATCTATCGACATTTTTTTGATTCGTGTTTGACCATGGAAAAGATAAAATTCTGTGAATTTTTGCAATTGATATTTATCGAGATTGATAGCTATACACAAAGAATTGATGAGTTTTTTAATCGAATGTCTCAGATGTATCTGATAAAAATTGATGATTATTTAAAAGAATAAATAGATTTCAAGGTTTTAACATATTATTAAATTGTAAATGTATTTTATTATGCTAATGTTAGAAGTTGGTCTAAAGTTTAACACTCTTCCCCTCCCCTCGGCCCCTTCAACTCCTCTCAACCATCAATTTTTAAGTAATCATTTAATCAAATTTAACAATTTTTATCTATGGTCTCATAAAAATGGAGAGTTAAGAGGGGTGAAAGAAGTTGGGCGAGAAGTGTTAAAACTTCAGACCAACTTTTTACGTTGTCCTATTCTGTCCCTCTTTTATTCCTTTCAACGTTTAATTTAAATATTATAATCACTGAACAATTACAATTATTTGATTCTTCGAACGTAAAAAAATACCTTAAGGAATAGTTTCCGCGCCCTATATATATGTATATTGTTATGCCGAGGATAAATTCCAGGATTTCAGTCAATTTAAATACACAAAAATTTATTTTAAGTGATAACAAATTTATTGTCACTTTTAATATTAATTACACTTAAATGTTTAGCACTAAAATTATAGCTAACAACAGTACAGTTAATTAATCACTTCTATTCATTACTGAATATTCTAAACTTATTGACAATATTCTGATTCTTATTCTTCACATGAATCGAGAAAACTTTATTTCTTTCTGTTTCTACTTCAATGATAGTTTCCTGTCGACTGACTAAAAAATGAAAAAATATCAAAATACAAAAGTAGTGCTATTAATGTGTTACTGCGCTTGAGAAAAATAAGTAAGGGAGTTGCCATGAGTCTCGAGACACAGGTGTAATAATATTACAGTCAGCAAAAATTAAATACACGTATGGTGTGAGGTAGTCACGGCGTAACACCCCCACCCTTAGATTGGAAAATCTTCCAAAAAGAAAAAGATTTTCAAAACAAAAAGTGTTAAGTTGAGTCTTCAAATTCTGATATGCGTAATTTTGATTTAGTTAGTTTTCTTCTCTGATTTGAATGATGGTTTTGTTTACTATCTTCTGAAATGCTATTTAAATCTGAAGAAATAGAATTTGCGTAACATATTGTTTTCATTGGAATTTCGTTGGAATAATTTTCGTCGTTATTGAGTTGAGTTTTAGGAGATGAAACACAATAGTTGGTTAACTTATTGTATAGTGAAAAGAACTTATTTACTATGAATTTAATCAATTGAAAGATTCTTAATTTGTAAGCTAAATATAATATAACTAACACACCTAAAGCATACATAGCATAAGTTAGCCAAAACATTATTTTTTCATAAGTGGTTTGTGTTCGTTCATGGTTACCTATCGCAATTGCGAAAAAAAAATCATCAATAATAAATTCAGAAATCCACTTTTAGATTAGGTACTAAGAGGTTAGGTACTAGAGATTAGGTGCGGGTCTCTAGTCTCTACTCTCTAACGCTAGATCTTGGTATTGAGCGTACATCCGGTAGTAATTTCTCTTTCAATTTCATTTAGTTTAGTTCCGTATTTAGTTAAATCCTCAATTTTTACATCAGGTGTCTCTATTGAATAAATTTTGGATAAACTGAGGTTCATAATTGAATTATTGATCATTTGGAAATTTTGGTGAAAGTTATAATTAATCAATGGTATAAAAGTTTGATTATTGTCGTAATTTGTACTTTTGTAAGAATTTAGTACGACACTATTAGAGACAACACTACATCCAGGTGCGATCCACAATATTTTTGTTCCGTTTATAATTTTATCTGTTACCTTATTATTGCAAATAATTTTAATAGTCTCAGGTTTAGGGGCCGAATATAACCATTTGTCATTACTTTTAAATTGTATTCAAATAGAAGTTTTTACACTAATCAGTTTAATATCACAATCATTTTCGCTTAAATTTACAGGTTCGTTTACTATTTTGCTCATACATGTGTCTTGTTTTTGAATAAAGTATTTTGGGTATATCGTTTTACAGAAATAAAGTGATTTGTGGGTTTTACAAGTTTCTAAAAAATATTTATCGCTAGGGGTATATAATAGTCTTTCATTATTAGTAATTATATGATCGTTTGGATTTGATATATAAGCCAATAGATTACTTCTTATTAATTTAGGAGCAGGAATTGCTCTGTATGCTTTATAATTTCCTATTTCTAAAATCGGTATTTTGATTACATAAACAAATCTATATCCTATTACACTTATTGATACGTCACTTATTTCTAAATATTCAAAATAGTTGCCTTGATGAAGAGCAATTGGCATTTCGTTTGCTCCCCTTTCGTCTTTTATCAATTTTATTGAACTCATGAGTAAATCTGGTGTTAATAATTGGGAATTTATTTGACCAATTTTTGCAAAACTAATAGATTGAACTATCATATTAACATTTCTACTAAACTCAATTAGGGCTAACTCAATTTCTAAGCAAATATCTGTGATTACAGTATCTTTTTGAATGATATTTTCAGTCTCTAAGATTTTTTGAATGTTTTTATCAATACTTTGAAAATTAGAATTTATTTTATTAAACTTTTCACTATGTTCTCTAAAGAGGCTTTCAGTTTTATGAATAGTTAATTGCAATATGTATGTTTGATTTCGAAATAATTCACTTATTCTTTTATTATCCCTATGAATAGCATCAATTTCATTGTTGTAATAAATTGCGTCATCTGAACTCATAGTTCCGAATAAAATTTTGGAAAGTTGACCGACAAAATTGAATAGACCTCTCTTTTCTCTAACTAGATTTCGAACTCCTATAGCAGAAAACAGTTTATACTTATCTTGTCTAAATGTCTCAAATTGATTACGTATTTTCTTTATCAGATTCGCTTCAGTACAATTTTCGTTACAAAACGTGTTGACCATGTTGAGTCCTTTCATGATTTCGGATTCCTGGAATGTCAATTCATCCAAGTTGATATATGATACCACGTTGTAGGTCTCGTGGAAGAATCTTACGTCCCCCAAATACTCCATGTAGATATTTGGTAATACAGGAAAACCTGTTTCTCTGTAAATTTCTTTGTTACCATCAGAAAATTCAATCAGGGAAATTCTGAAACAAATTTATATTAGCGTATTTTAATCTATTTGCATGAACGATAATTTTTTTATTATTCTTTATTATCTCATAATTGACGTCAGACGTCTTGTCAGATATTTAATATGGCCCTTCCCATGGTAGATTGAGTGCATGTGTTTTATTGTTAGCTACACTTTCTTTCCGTAACCAAATTGAATCGCCCGGTTTGAATTCTTGAGGATTACTCATTCTATCATATCTGTCCTTGGATCGTTGTTTACTCTCGGATATCATTTTCTTGCATTCATCTAGATTCTTTGATAACTTGCGTTTTAATTCATTGAGATACTCAGTATATGGTATATTATGACGTTTCTTGACTGATGATACATCTCTTGCGTTCTGACCGAATACTAGTTCACAGGGTGTAAATTTAGTTCCTTCATGTTTCGATGTATTGTAATATAGTGTTGCAAAATGGATTACTTCGTCCCAGTTTTGAGCATTTTCATCACAGAAGTGTCGCAGAAAGTCTTTTAATACCTGATGACTTCGTTCGAGGCTTCCGTTGCTTTGAGGGTGGAAACTTGCTGTCGTTATTTGTTTTATTCCCAACAATTTTTCGAAATTCTTCGTTAATCCACTTGTAAAGTTTGTTCCTCTGTCTGTTAAAATGTTTTGTGGTACTCCAAAATAGCTGACCCAATGTTTCAAAAATTCATTAATAACTGTAGCGGCTGTGAAATTTTTTAAGGGTACGGCGACGAGATATTTTGTGAGCTGATCTTGCAAGGTCAAAAGATATCTATTTTCCCCTGTTGTCGAAGGTAGAGGTCCACAAATATCCATGGCAATTTTCGTATTAAATCTGGTTGGTGTGTCGGTGATCACCATTGGCATTTTTGTTGAATGTCGATTTATTTTAATTCGTTGACATGTTATACAATTTCTTACATAATTATCAACATCTTTCCTTAACGATTCCAAAAAATAGTTCTCTGCAATTCTGTAGTAGGTTTTCTTAATTCCTCCATGTCCTCCAGTAAGGCTGTCATGGTTTTCTTTTAATATTTTCGGTATCTCTTCTTCTGTTGGAATCATTCTACGTTTATCATGAAGATAAATTATGATTTTCTTATTTCGAAATTCTTTTATCCAAATTTTTTCCAAAGCTTTACTCGAAAAGCCACTTAACTGGATACATCCATCGTGATCAACGTGGAGTTCTTCAAGTTCTTCATTAAGTGCTATTTGTTTTATTTCTTGAATTTTTTCTTTCAATTCTTCAATTTCTCCTTCTAAATTAATTCTCACAATAATATGATATTCTTGGTTGTCCTCTTCAGAGTAGACTTCTATAGGTTGTGAATTTTCTCCTTCAATGAACGATACATCCACACTACCCTCAGGTATTGGATCATTCGTCAATATTATTTGTTTTCCTAGCTTCGCTCGTGAGGCTAATTCTGGTCTTTCTAAATCTTCTGTATTATCTTCCTTTTTTTCCTCTACTTTTCTTTCTTTATTTTGTTCTATGTTTACTTCTATTCTTCTCCATTTCTTATCATGAGTTACTGATTCCTCATTTTCTTCTTTCTTTTTTATTTGAGTTTCACTCAACTTCTTCCGTTTCCTAACTTGGTTCTCTGATTTATCTCGTTCTATTTCTTTTCGTTTTTTACTAGTTGAATTTACATTCTTCTTCTTTCGGTACGCCAGTACCGGGTTTCTTGATAATGCATCTGCATTTGTATTCAAAACACCTTTCTTATAGACAATTTCATAATCATAATCTTCTAGCATGATTCTCTATCTGGCTAATCGTGAATGAGGATCTTTTAGATTTATTAACCAAACCAAAGGCCTATGGTCGGTTATTATTTTGAACTTGCGACCATACAAATATGGGCGAAAGTGTTTTACACACCATACCACTGCTAATAATTCTTTTTCAATAGTTGAATAGCGTTGTTCGGCTGCATTGAGTACCCGACTTGTATAAGACACTGGGTGTTCCTTTCCATTTTTTTCTTGCGATAATATTCCACCTATTGCAACGCCAGATGCGTCAGTAGCTAAGGTGAATTCCTTTGAAAAATCTGGGTATGCAAGGATTGGACTATTACATAATTCTTCTTTAAGAATTGTAAATGCTTTTTCTTGTTCTACTTCCCATACCCAAGGTGCATTTTTCTTTAGCAATTGTGTCAATGGTTTAGCCTTTTTGCTGTAATCTTTGATGAATTTTCTATAGTAGCCTGAAAGTCCCAAAAATTGTTTAATGTTTTTTATGTTTTTTGGACGAGGAAATTCTCGAACACTTTTACACTTCTCAGGATTAGGTTTTACACCATCCTTCGTAATGACGTGACCCAAAAACTGTAATTCAGGTTTTAAATATTCACACTTGTCAGGCTGCAGTTTGAGGTTAACATCTCTCATTCTCTGTAGGAAGATACGTAATTTATTATTGTGTTCTTCCAAGGTTGATCCATATATGATGACATCATCCAAGTAAACAAAGCATACTTTTCCAATTAACCCTCTTAAAGCTTTATCGATTATTCTTTGGAAGGTTGAAGGACTGTTCTTCAACCCGAATGGCATTCTGACAAGTTCGTAGTGGCCTTGAGGAGTACTAAAAGCCGTTTTATGTCGATGTTCTTTTCTCATCGGGATTTGGTGAAACCCGCTTGCTAAATCAAAAGCTGAAAAATAGCGAGCGTTACCAAGCTGGTCTAAAATTTCTTCTATGTTTGGTATAGGATAAGCATCTGCGCGAGTTTTTTCGTTCAATTTTCGATAGTCTACTACAACTCGCCATTTCTGTTTCCCTGAAGCGTCACTTTTCTTGGGAACAATCCACAAAGATGAGTTATATGGAGAGTCCGAGTCTGTAATTAGTCCTTTTTTTTTCATTTCTTTCACTTGTCTAAAAATTTCTTCAAGTTGTCCAGGTGGATATCGATATTGTTTAACAAAAACCGGTATTTCGTCTGTTGTTTCAAGTGGATGATCTCCTAAATCTGTGCCTGGTACCGGATCTGCTGGCAAACAGTACACATCTTGATATGAATCTATTATTTCCCATATATTTTCTTTAGCTTTCTCGTCCAAAATATGATTAAGACGTGTATTTTCCTCTAAAAGTTTACTTCTCTCTATTGTGTAATTGTTTGATTCTCTATTCTCAATTTTCAACATTTTTAATTCTGGTATTTTCCTATTAAAAATTATTGTTCTTCGTTTCGCTAATATTATAGCATCTTCTTTCTCAAGAAATGGACAACCAGCAATACCGTCTTCTTCCAGGGGGAACTCGTTAGGAACTACGAGAAAAATGTGTTCAACGTTATCTATTTCAATTTTACATTCCTGAGTACAATTTACAGGCGTAGCATTGATACCCGTTAGCTGCGCCCAGGTTTTTCTGACTGGTAGTCCGACAGTACACTTTAATTTGATGATGTTGACGGCTGCTCCTGTGTCTACCAAGAACGAATAATATCGCTGTCCGAATTGGCTGTTGATTCTGAGCATAAAGGTTGCTCCTGGGTTTCTTGAGTTCCTTGACATTCTGTGTATTTGATAAGATTGGGCACGGTTGGTTGTCGGCGCGACGGAAAATTTGCATTAGTAGGTTTTTGTGGGCAGTCTCGAATAAAATGGTCTAAACTGCCACATCTATGACATGGAAATCGCTTTTTTTGTTTGCGCCAGATTTTTCTGCGTTTCATTATCGATGCTTTTCGGGTTTTTATTCAAATTTTTGTTAATAGGTTTTTTGTTTTCGTGATTCGAATTTTTATAAACCACGCGCGATATTTCTTCTTCTTTTTCTGTTTCTAATGCTAAATTTTGAGCTTCTCGAATAGTTGTAGGTTTTCCAGCTTTGACAAATAATCTGACACTCGGCTTTAAACCACGAATGTACTGTATCAGTCCTTGTTTTTCATCATTTGCTAATATAACGACGCGATCTCTTTTATCATAATCAACATTATTATTTATTGCTCTTTTAATATTAAGATGACATTCAGTGAATTGTTTATTGTAAAGGGTTTCTTTCTCTGATCCTTGCTGACATTGGCTTCTCTCAAGAATAGCAATATCGTAAGATTTACACTCGCCAAAATTGTTACGTAAAACTTGATATAGATCATCTGACGATCGAATATCGTGCCCGCCGATAGCTTTCCGTGCGCCCTTAATAATCTTTTTTGAAATGATCAATCGAACAAATGTATTTCTTTGCTCCTCCGGCAAATCATCAATAACAGATTTTATTTCGAAAATAAATGTTTCAACTGCTATGTTATTGCCTTCGAATTCCGTAATTAATTCGAGTTGTTGTTTAAGATTTTTTATATCAGTTGCTGTCGCGACGCTGTCGCGACGCTGTCTTGCGTTGTAGATGCGTGATCGACTGTATCGTAGTTTGACGTGTGATTGTTAGCCGGTGCATTTATATTTTCTCTTATTGCATGTAATGTAGTTAATTGATTCTGTAATGCTTGTACTGAATTTACGAGATCTGTAATTCGAGCTTCCATCGTGTTTTCTGTTACTTGAATTTTTCGATATTCGTTTAGATCTTCCGTAGACTCGTAGGAATCGTCCGTATTAAAATAATCGTTATTATTATTTTCTCTGTATTCCGAAAATGCGTTATCCGTCGTATATGTTTCCATATATAAGTAATTGTACTTACAGAAGTGTTGTTATTATCATTTTCTCCTTTATCAATCCAAGCATTCAAATTTCGAACTGATTTGAGATACTACCGCTGCCACCAATTTTGTTATGCCGAGGATAAATTCCAGGATTTCAGTCAATTTAAATACACAAAAATTTATTTTAAGTGATAACAAATTTATTGTCACTTTTAATATTAATTACACTTAAATGTTTAGCACTAAAATTATAGCTAACAACAGTACAGTTAATTAATCACTTCTATTCATTACTGAATATTCTAAACTTATTGACAATATTCTGATTCTTATTCTTCACATGAATCGAGAAAACTTTAT